TTTTTTTGTTGCAGTTTGGCCAGGGCCAGGTTCAAACCTGCCACCCTCGGTACATGGGGCCGGCATCCTACTCCTTAAGCCACAGGTGTCACCCCACACTCACACCCTGCTTTCTTTCAGAGAACTGAAGGCCATAGAAGTAGGTCATATAATGAAAAAGTCTCAGCTCTTTTATTACAATCACATGTCTATGTAGAGACCTGAATTCTGTAAATGACCAATACATGAGCAAAGCAAGCAAAATATTTTGATACCAAAAGTGTAGTGTAGGGAATTTGCCTGAAATCCTAGCACTCTGGGAGGCTGAGGCAGTGGATCACCTGAGCTCAAGAGTTTGAGACCAGCCTGAGCAAGAATGAGGAGATCCAATCTCTACTAAAAGTAGAAAAAAACAGCCAGGCTTTATAGTGGGCACCTGTAGTCTCAGCTACTTGGGAGGCTGAGGTGGGTGGATCTCAGGAGTTCCAGACCAACCTGAGCAAAAGCAAGACCCCATCTCTACTAAAAATAGAAAAACTAGCCAGATGTTATGGTAGGAGCCTGTAGTCCCAGCTACTCTGGAGGCTGAGGCAAGATAATCTCTTGATCCCAAGAGTTTGAGATTGCTGTGAGCTATGATGCCATGGCACTCTAAGCACTCCACCCAGGGTGACAGAGTGAGAATCTGTCTCAAAGAAAAAAAGAGAAGTTTTTCATATCTGTTATTAATGATTTACAATCAGAAGAAAGAAGACAGCACTCTTTTTTAAAATTAGGTTTTACAGATTTTTATCTTATAAAAACATTTTTGGAGGTTAAGAAAAGAGTGTTGTGTTTTTCGCTAGACCCTTGCTGGCCCCTGGCTTCCAGAGCTCAGAGTCATCAAAAGAAAACTTCTCAGCACACAGAGGTTGTTGGGGGAAAACATGACTGAACCCACGGAGAAGCATGCGGACATTTTTCAAAGAAAATTAGACAAATTACCATGTAGACATTTGAACTTTTAAATGTAGATTAAAGTAAAAACAAGGTTTTACCAGTCATCTTTATCTCTGATGGGAGTGACTAAAGTTCGTCCTGCCTGTGAAATCGATTGAAAAAATCTTCATTCCCATTAAATCTTCCTGCTAGCAATTCCTCCTCATCTTCCTCTCGGGCTTTTTTCACTTCTTCCTTGGCCTGTATGGCATCCATCTCCCTTTCTGGACCCTGGAGAAAGAAATAAAGAATAAATAAAATAAAGGTTCAGGAGGACAGGAATCATGCTTATTTTTTTTTTTTTTT